ATTTTTACTTTTATTTATTTACCCAATTTCAATTGAATATTTTAAATAATATGAGCAAAAGATATTAATATCCATTTTTTAAATTTTAATTTTATGAGATCATATGTCAATTTTTAGTACCAAATATATGTAGACACTGAGAAACTGATGTGACTCCATTTTTGAAAATAAATAACAGCAGCTTCTACCTCAAGGCCTATCCAAGGAAGAGGGCTTGACCCTTGTCCTTGGAAAAACCCACAGAGAATTCCTAGGAACATACTCATCTGCTGAGTTGTTTATCTAAAATTAACAGGAGAGATCTGAGGCACCAGGTGTCCTTACTCAGTTAGGCTAGGTGAGGACCCATAGCAACCCCCTAGCAACCACCCATCAGTATTTTCCCAGACAGGGAAAATACTCAGGATTCCAGATAACCCCCCAGTAGTTTATGGTGGTTGATAACATGTTGGGAAACCATGTAGTTCAGCACATACGCCCCTCATGGCTTAAAACAATCAGTTCAAAGGAATCCTGCAAACCCACCTTTCTGTTCAAATGTGGCTCAATGGGCTTCAACAAATATTCCTACTTGTCCTTTAATTCCCTCCAGTGGGGACAGAACCAAGGAGGACAAGTCCAACATGGCACTGGGATCTAATCAATCCACAGGAAAGAATGGTTGATCCCTGATGCTTCAGGAGAAAAGATCTTCATCAGAACTGGGATATATAAATGGTGTCCAAATCAACAGGCAGTAACTTGTCTCAAATCCTGATGAAGGGGAGCCAGAGGGCCATGAGGGGAAGGTCCCTGGGCAGCACTGGCTGGCAGCATGACTATCACAAGTGAGTCAGCCAAAACCTCAGCTGTGCATAAAATCTATCCCAACCTGTACCCCCATGTTTTCTAGGAGGACACCTGGCCAGTCGCTGCCTGTTGTCCTTGAACTGAGGCCACCCTTGGTACTGAGTCTGTGGAGCCAGTGATAATTGATTCAAAGCTGCCTTTGACATCCTGTCTCCCTTTGCCTCCTGGATGGGGCTCTGACTCATCTTTCTTTGGGTGTCCTGCATTCCTGCCCTATTATGTCTGACTACACTTGTTCTTTGGAGAGCCACTGTCTGTTGTGACTTAGGTTGACAGTAACATCTAGCTGCCTCCTGCACCAAGTCAAGGGTGGTAAGAGAAGGCAGGGCTGTGGCATGAAGTCACCCTTTCCAGCTGGCTACACACAGACAAATGGCAGAGAAATTTAGAATTCAATTGAGAGACTAGATTTCAATTGTTGTGGAGCCTAAAAAGCAATGAGGTCTCTGAAATAGCCTTAGTCCTACTTCACTGCACACAAAGGAGATTAAATGTGGGTCATTTGTGGTAAGTCATTATGTGAAACAGAAACCAAAGATAACCTCAGCCAACTGTAAGTATCCAACTGTGATGTGAGAAGAAGTATTTTCCAACAAGATACCCAAGAAGACCATCACGGTTTAGATGCTGTCTCCCAACAGCTCACCTGTGAGACAATGGTTTTGGAGGAGACATGATTGGTTTATAGCCTTAACCTTGTCAGTAAGTTAATTCCCAATGGGATTACTGAGTGACAACAGGGGGCAGGTGTGGTGTGCCTTGAGGAAGCTGATCATTGGTGGTGTGAATATGGTGTGTATATTTTGTATCTGGCTAGGGGCCATCTCTCTCCTTCTCTGTTCTCTAATAATGTGAGCACCTTCACTCTGCCACAATCTCCCACCATAATGGTCAGCCTCACCTTGAAGGTGAGGGCCCAAGGAATGGAATCTGCTGTGGTGCATTTCGACCTCTGAAACCATGAGTCCCCAGGTAAACTTTTTCTCCTCTGTAGTTGTTGGGGTTGGGTATTGTAGTGACAGCGTGAAAAAGCTGACTAACACAAAGAACAACAAAGCAGAAATGCAATTCTGTAACTGCAGTCAATCAAACCATTCCTTCTACATCTTCCCTGTAAGTCCTCCCCTCACATGGCTCATCATCCAAGCACTCCCTCTCTTTCCGTCTCTCCTTCCTCAATTCCTGAATTACTTTATACTCAGGCTCTTCAAATTTTCCTTTGCCTGTGAACTTCTCACAGCCTAAAGAGCCCTGGAAACTGCCTAGAGCAAAGCTGCCTGGGAGATGTGCCCTCAGGTCCCTGATTCTGCAGAAAGACTCTCCAGTGGGTGGCCTCCCTGATTTCAGGAACACCTGCTGTCCAACCCTGGGTCTCTCTCTCTGATTCCCAAGTTGCCCACAGTTTCCACCCTGGGTGGGTTTCAGACTTTTCCAAGTCTGATGGGGCACTATGGCCCATGCCTTTAATCACAGCAACTCTTGAGATTGAGGCATGAGGATGGCAAATTTGAGCCAGCCGCAGCAACTTAGTGAGGACCCAAGCATTTTAGTGAGACCCTATCTCCAAATAAATGCAAAAAACAAAAAGGGCAGGGGATGTGATTCAGTGTAGAGCACCAATGGGTTCAATCCCAGTACAGACAGTCAAACAGGAGAAGTTTTGCCCTAAGTCTAGAAGACTGATTCCACCCTCCTTGTCTGCTCTTCCTCTCAAATCTCCAGATTTGCTGCAAGGTAACTCGAAACTTGTGTGACTGTAGTAAATATGGTTTCCATTCTGTGGTCTTCGTGGATGACACTACTGTCTTCAAAAAGCTGTTTTAACTATGGAATTTTCAGAAAAGAAAAATTCAAATAATTTTGATATGGCCAAAGACCCCTTTGAAAGATATTTTCAGGTGTTGTTTTTCCTTAGGGACTCGGTGCTTTTCTGTCTCACGGGAGAAACAGAAGGGTCACATATGGACAAATTTGAGTCCATGGTGCGGAGTGCATGGAAGGACGCATCCCTGACTGTCACACTCTCCTGGATTCTGCGCACTTTCATGAGATCGGATTCAATCAATCAATCTGGAGGAAGACAATCCGATCAGGATTAAGTGGGTGGAAACTGGAGAACCTGATCAGATACTGCTTTCTGATTGGATGCCAGCCAATCAGATGGAGGTGGGGGCGTGGTCAGAGAGGTCCATAAAAGCTTCTGTGGAGCCAGAAGAGAAACACAAGAGTCCTGGAGCCCAAGGAGAACCAGCCTGGCCTGCTGAGGCTCCGAGAACCCTGCACACCTGGACCGATCCCGTAAGTCCCTCACCGCCCTGAGCACCACCCGGTTCCCCCCTCACCTGTGTGGATTCAGGAACAATTTTGTTCCTGTCTTTTCTCATTAACCAATTTAGAACGCCGATTTTGCCTCTCAGTGTAGTTTTACCTTGATCCTGAACACTAGGATTTCCACTTTGGTTTATGTCACTTTCAATTTTCTATCTTTCTTTCTTTGGTACTGGCTATTGAACCAAGGGGCACTCAAACACTGGGCCACATCCCCAGCCCTGTTTTGTGTTGTATTTAGAGACAGGGTCTCACTGAGTTGCTTAGTGCCTGCTCTTGCTGAGGCTGAATTTGATCCCATGATCCTCCTGTCTCAGTCTCAGGAGACCCTGGGATTATAGGCTTGTGCACACACGCCCCAAACTTTTTCTTTTTCTCAATTTTTTTTTTTTAAGTTTATATGGACAATATAATTTATTTATTTATTCATTTATTTATTTGATGGTATGGTGATTGAACCAGGGCCTTGTGCATGGAAGGCAAGCACTCTATCAACAGAGGTATGTCCCCAGCCCAACATTTAATAATTTTTATGTGCTGCTGAGGATCAAGCCCAGTGCCTCACATGTCCTAGGAAAGTGCTCTTCCACTGAGCTCCAGGCAAAGCCAATTTAAAATTACTTAACCAAGGAAGTGGATTGCAATCCTATTTCATTCTAATTGATTGGAATTCTATTTTCTGATAATAAAAATATTTATTTTGTGTGCCCTTAAAATTATAGTGTTTTGCTGGGTGTGGTGGCACACACCTGTAATCCCAACACCTCCAGAGTTTGAGGAGGCCAGAGAATTAGAGTTCAAAGCCAGCCACAGCAGCACGAGGTGATAACAAATCAGTGAGGCCCTGTCTCCAACTAAAATGCAATATGGCTGTGGGCAGTGATTTACTGGTTGAGTGTCCTGAATTCAATCGCCAATATCGTCTCATACACAAATTATACTTTATAGCTTATTTAGTTTTGTAATTTTATAGTTTGTTTAAAAAAAATAAACAAAAAGCTTCAAACTACCTCATGCAACAGTTCACAGGCTCTGTTCTGATCTGTTTGTTCTCTTCAATACCCCCTAAGGTGGCAGAATCTCACATGTGTAACAGACATCCTTGAGACTCTCTTGTAATTTCCAAGTGTTTTGTAATATGGGCACATGCTTTATAATTGCTTATTTAACCTTCTGAAATTAAAAATAACATCACCCATCTGAGGGCAACTCTTTCTGAGCCACAATAGTTACTGAAACAGAGGATCCTACTGCATTAAGTCACATGACACTCCAATTTTCATTTTATAAGGACAAAATAATAAGCAAAGCTTTCCCCCATTAAGGTTGGGGTGAGTTTTAGACTTCCCAGTACCCCCTTCCCAGTGGCTGGCAATGGATGGGATAGTGGCCTTTTCCTTCGACCATTTTCCAGGATCCTTCTTCTTTCAGATTCCCCAGGATGAGCATCCAGTCCCCACCCACGCTGCTGGAGCTAGCAGGGCACAGCATGCTGAGTGACAAGTCCAGGGCCATCCTGGATTTAGAGGACCTGCCCATAGAGTTCTTCCCACCACTCTTTGTGGAGGCCTTCAGGAGGGGACACACTGAGGTCCTGAAGAAAATGGTGCAGGCCTGGCCCTTTACCTGCCTGCCCCTGGGGGCCCT